GATAATTTACATCATTGAGCTTCTGTTTTATTATTTTAATATGAGGATTAACAAATTCCTCTTGGGCTTTCTTCAATAGAGCCTTTGAAATAGTTGAATTGATTCATTCAAATAAAAATGCTTTTATGAATGCACAACACAATAGATATTTGAGTAAAACTTATATGTTGTTAATCCATAAGGTCAAAGGAAGACCTAGAATCACTGTAGGTGATGATTATAAATATAATCTATACATCCTCTTATGTGAATTTATCTAAATTTGAATTAAACCTTACCCCATAGTACTCCTATCATTTTGTGTAAGCATCAGCCAATTTTTATACTTTCCTGATAAATACATTGATTCCTTTACTAATACGTATGAAAATTCTGGACTAAAGAACTCCCGTAGTCTATCACTAAAAACAATGGATGGAAGAGCCTAACCACATTGATCAATCATGTTTGAAAGGTTTAGTCTTATTTTGTATAGTAAAGAGAAAAACTGAAACTTTTACAGCGAGATCAATCGCAAGCTCTATGGGCCAGAGGAGAGCGCCCAAGAGGACTTTCACAGCTGATCTATTTATGGAAGTACCGGCCCCATCTTTCTCCTGAAGAGCAGCTAGTAAGTTTGAACTGCTGACCTTTGTGCTAGCGGCAAAATGCTTAAACATTGTCCCTTCAGGAAGCCCTTCACAGCCTCCTAATTACTCACTGTCCACTTTAATCCATTCAACTTCATTTCAACCATAATAGATTAATAATGATTATCTGACATGGTTTCTGTCTTAAATTTTGGCAAATGCTGATCCCCTAGATAAAAACTCGTGGTCTCGGTCTTTCCGGTCCCCACATTAACTCTATGACTATTGTGAGGCTCTGACACAGTGAGCATCCACAACACTCTGCGTCCAGAGCATTTTCAAGCCCTGGGACAGCTTTTGGCACACAAATGCCACTCAAAGTAAATGAATAATAGGGTGGCACCATCAGAAATCAAGTATTAGTGTGAGAGTACTTTTGTGAAAATACTTTGAAATGCTTGGGAAAAAGACAGTTAAAAATTAATAAAGAAGCTGAATTTTGAGAATGATGAGGGCAACAAATGTATAAGTGTGCTTTACACAATTGATGTATGTATTGTGATGAATTGTATGAGCCCCAATAAAAATTTTTTTAAATTAATAAAGAAGTAAAGAAATTAAAGAGTTAGAGAAACCAGTACTTAAGCAATAATAAAAATCCATCTGATTCAATCCCACATAAATTTGATGATGTCACTATAAATCAATAATAACCTCAGTACACTACATCATCAAAAATATTTGGGAATTTCATAAATATTAATTGGTCGCTAGTGTTTTATATAAGAATTTTTGAGTCTATCAATTTTGGAGGATTTAGATTCATTTTAAATTCTCATATTGCTTATAAAGTCTAGGATCACCAAAAAATGATTAAAAGGCCAAAAGCAATTATGATTAAAAGATTTTCTTTTTTTTTTTTTTCTTTTTTAACATTTTATTAGGGGCTCATACAACTGTTATCCCAATCCATACACACATCAATTGTGTAAAGCGCATTTGTACATCATTTCTCAAAACATTTTCTCTCCATTTAAACCCCCGACATTGGGTCCTCATTTTTCCCCTCCCTCCCCGCTCCCCCCTCCCGCATGAACCCTTGATAGTTTATAAATGGGTATTTTGTCATATCTTGCCCTGTCCGACGTCTCCCTTCATCCACTGATTAAAAGATTTTCAAAAGAACTCTAAATAAAATAAAATTGCACTTTCAAGCTTATGATGGTTGCATAATGAAGTTAAAGGGTTCTGATAAAATAATTTAATAATTCAAGAATAGAAGTAACATAGTGTATGTTCACATGTGACACGATGTCCACATAGTATAAAAACTGGAAATTAGTATGATGTTCTTCAAGGGAGCAATGAGCAACAAATATGGGGAAATCAATGCTGCTTAAGCTAGTGCTGGACGAGTGAAAAGCTCTGAAAGGACATTGAAAGATCATAAGTGAGCGGTTTAACCTCCTGGAAGGCAGAGTGCCTCTAGCCCGACCATTTAGCTGTGTTACCTTAGACAAAGTATGTCGTTTTCTCTTCCTGAGCCTCCTCATCTATTCCATAGAGACACTAGCTACCTCATGGGAAAGTTGGGTGTCAAAAAGTTCACGCCCTTAAATTTATAGATTGTCTATTGCTACATAATTTGTGGTCATATTATAATCATGAGGAAGATATTAGCCCGAATGAAGAGAGTTAATTTGAGAGAAGGTTTAGATAGTTTTTCTCAGAGATTAGTCTAGGTTACCTGAGCTTCATGATTTGAAGCAATGTTATTATTAACAGGTTGATTTTTTTAAAGCCTTTTCTATGCACCCCTAGGGGAATGATTTATTTTTTTCTTCTCTGTGATTGAACTATAGACATTTTTTAAAAAAAGATAGCATAAAGGTTCTTAAAATAATATGTGAAAAGTATGAAATTAATAAAGCTAATAATTTACTCTTGCTTTTTATCCTACTAATGGTACCTTGATTAAACCAATAGAACACATTTAAGAAACATAATTTCACCTCTAAAATCTTCTTTACATACTAGGAACTCAGGAAGAGAATTTTTTCTTACCACTGTAGATAGTGTCTTTTAGAAATGACTTTGAGATGCTAATAAATCTTCACTATTATGTTAATTCGGAGAGCAAATATTTACAACTGTGAACTCTGTCTCAAGCATGAACTTAGTTTTTATGCTAAGACTTTAAATATGTGATATTCTTTTTAAATTAGTGAAAAACTGTATGCGTCTCCGAGTATGTGGAAGGGACCAAGATAGAGCACCCTGCATATAGACCAACTCAGCCAACACAGCGCATTCTGGACCCGCCCCGGGTTCAATGCACCAGTCAGGGCAGCCATAAAGCCATGGTGTCTTCAAACAGAGACCCCACAGAAGAATGATAGCACACATTCTGTTATCCATTCATTTCCACACATTCGCAAACACTGGGGCTGCTAGAAAGAGTTTAAATATAAGCAACAAAAAATCCCCAAATAATTTAAAATTATTATTGTCCCTCCACATCTAATATGTGAATAACTTCACATCCTCAGAGAAAGAAGGGATGGAGGAAGGGGCAGGATAACTGGGTATTAAAGCTTTTGAAATAATAAAAGGCACAATGATGAAAATGAAATCATCTACTCGTTAATACAGTCGATAAGGCGGGGTGGAGCACACCTCTCCCTTTAAACTCTCTGCAGTGCTGGCACACAGCTGACAACAAAGAAAAGAGCAAACCAACAAACAGCCATTCCTGGTTAATAATGACCACGCTCATGGTGATGACTCAGGAAGTGAGGACAGTACATTAACAGTGGTTGAAAGAAAAGGAGATGGAGAAAGAAAAAGAAGTGAGAATTTCTTTTTGTTTTGCCATTTGTAAAGGAATAAAACATAAAACTAATCAGTTTGGGCTATTCTTCTATGGGCTGAAAGAGAATAAGTAAATCAAAAGAATCACTTTCAGAAACAAATAATGTTCAGCAGAATTTTCACTCTAATTATTTATTTATGACTTAGAGCTTCCTAATTTTATCGCAATCCACACCTGGCGACAAAACGGAAGGACATGTGCCAAATAAACCTGTGTGGAGTGATTCCTTTATGGAGGATGCTGTTCCCAGTGATGAGTGATGGCTCGTGAACTTTGGCTCAGTGTCAGGAACAGTAAGCAAAAACTTAAGGGGAAAATCATTTTTAAAAAGGTCAAGTTCCAAAGCAGGAAAGTCAGCCTTTGTACCTTTAGGCACTTTCTAGTGAAAAATGCCTGGTATGTCTGCGAGGCAAGCAATATTCCTCTGATTTAGAGCTACTTACAGGCCCTTCAAAGGCTCTCATTAAGTATGGTCTCGATTGAAATGGATGTTGACTAACAGCTTCATTTTCAGAACATGGAATTATGTTTAAAGTGTGCTTGTAAACTTTCTTAAAATTAGCTAGATTGAATAAGTAATTACATGGCTTATATTTAATGATTGAATCAATAATAAAATGCCAAACAGAAAATAAAATGATAAGGAGCCACAAAATATTAGCAAACTAGAATGCATACTAATGATCAATTGTAAAACAAATCCAGAAAGGTGCAGTTGTCTTCTTTCTTTTTAAGAACACAAAAACTTAAAGATACTTAGAGAGATAATGCTTAAATTATCTCAGAAAGGCAAACAATGACTACAGAGGACAGATGGGGAAAAGTTACTTCTGCAACAAGATTAGTTCTATAGAAGACCAATGTTTCAAAATGATTACATTGACAATATGACAAGTAAAAATCAGGTTGAACGCAAAACCTACTGAAAGTAAATTAGTTTGAAATCAAATATGAAAAAAATCAAACCAAAAATATTGAAATTTTTTTCTTAAATGAAGGTGCATCAATGCTTACCTTCATTTTAAATGCACTGCCTACTAAATGTCTAGTTTATACTTACATACCTTTAGAGAGAAAAAAACTAAGCTTGTATGAGTGATTATTGTGGTGCACATTTAAATAATGCTACTGCAGTCATGTGAACATAAAAATGATCCTTTCATCAAGTATTTACTTCCTATAATGATGTATGGATATGAAAGAGGGAACGATGGATATACTACAAGGGATGAAAGAAGAACCTGAATGCTTTAAAATCTGCTACTGTGGTAAGAGGAAGTCAAAGGTTTTCTAATTTAGTCCACCCATATGCTCTGTATTTATAGATGAGTCTTCAATAAGGTCACGGACCACAGGGCACAAAGAGGGGTGAATGAATGACATGCAAGGTTGGTTTTCAAATGGGACCTATGTAACTAAATACATATTCTAAATGAGTAACAAAAGCATTTTATCAATATCAGAATGACCTTGTAAGTCTTTGTTTGAAAAACAGTCATTGAGAACTGACTCATTTCAGGGAGGAAGGGGGACAGGAAAACCTTTTAAGTGACTGATACCTGATCCTTCCTCTGTTACCATTCCAAGTCCTTCAGCTTTGTTTTGTCGCTCAAATGCATTTAGGTCAAGGACACTACAGTCACAGGGAGAAAAGTATTAACACAATGACATAAATGCTCTAATCTCAGGAGAGTAAATTACTGTAAACACTGTGCATATTTTGAACCAAAAGGACCACATTGCAAACCAACATTTACAAGTCCTCTTCTTGTGGAGCTGACTAGACTCTTCCCCAGCACCTAAACCAAAACGAGCTCTGGGCAAGGTAGACATAATTGAATGGAGTCTCAACGTTAGGAATGCATTTCAACTTCAAAGATACAGTTAATTTGTTTTAACTCTAAGCATGTGTCAGGCTCCTTAGTCAATGATCTTAAAGATCATAAAGAATAAAAATTGAAGATCATAAATTAGTTGGTTATGGACCAAACGAAACTGAGTAAAATAGTTTGGTTTTTCAAACCACATGATATTCTTTTTCAAATATACAGAATACATGTTCATTCTTCAAGAACCCTAGGTAAAGTTTTATGTGTAGGGAGAACTATTTTAACATATTAATACTAGGTAAATTAATTTAGGAACTAAGACATTACTAACACCCTAACAACATGGAGAAAATAAAGCATGTCGATCATCCTGGTTAATAAACATTATTTTGTCAATAATTATTTTGAATAATGCAAAATAAGTACTTTATAAACTATAAGATTTGATTAGGATCAATTGCCAGAGAGCATTTCCTTACCTACATGACTGCATTAAGCCAGCAAGGCTCTGAAAAAAGCCCACGTCCTTCTTCTCCTTGAGGTAGTCTAGCATTTTCTATAGTAAATATATAAACCATATGATCACTAAACATAATCATATATTTTGTTAAATATACTAAAACAACAGTAAGTACATGCTTTCTCATTTGGAATGCAGATTAAAATATATGATACATACAATATTACTAAGGTTATCTTTACCATGAAATATGAACAAATACGTCAATGCAAAATTGTACATTTATGTGTGCAACAGGAATTTCATATTGCTGGGAACAAGGGAGGTGACATCATGGCAAACCAACCAACCAACCAACCAACCAACCAACCAACCAACCAACCAACCAGATGTCAAGAAGCGAATTCAGATGCACGGTGACCCCTTAGTGTCAGGGTAGGGCTGTGCTTCATAATGTTTTCATTGAGTTATTTTCTTTTTAACGCAGCTTGGCAGGTCTTCCAAGGGTCCTCTGGATAGAATTAAACCTCCAATATTCAACCAGCATCAAAACACTAACCATTTGCACCAGCCAGGTAGTCCATATAAACACCATCAGGGCCGTAAATATTAAGGGGGATTACTACATCTCTTAATTCTCTCCCAGTCATTCTCAAATACTTGGAGATCCAGATGCTTGTTCAAGTTAGCTGAGAAGCTGATCATGTGTGGACACAATTCACAGATTTCCATTAAAAATTGCTTTCCTTAAATGATCTAATAGTTATGACTCTCATATGTAATGTTATATCCATAAATTCAGTTTCTAGTATCACTTGATGTGCAGAATCTGGGCTCAAAGGTTTGATGAGACATAAATGTAAAGAACGCTACAGTAACACACAAGTTTATCTTGTTAGCTTACTATTACATAACATAAAATGAATAGTTACTATAAAAGTACCTTAAACATATTGGAGATTTCAAATAAGTATTATACGAGATGGTAGATGGCACTCTCAAAGATTTTAAGGAAGTAAATAAATAATACTTTTCTCAAAATCGTGAATGGAAGAGAATAATCCCTCTATATGTGCTATTCTTGAAAGGGCCCAGCTAAGCAGTCTTAGTTCAGTAGTCATTAATTTCAGAAGTCAGAGCCGAAGGTCATATAAAGCTAAATATTAAAAGAATACACATAAAAGTATGCATACTTCTATATATACACACACACAAACAAAGGAACATACATACACAGAGATATATAGAAACAAGGTATACATAAAACTCAAATTCACTGCCATCAAGTTGATTCTGACTAATGGTGACCTATAAAACGGAGTAGAACTGCACCTGTGAGTTTCTGAGATTGTAAGACTTTTGGGGAATAGAAAGCCTCATCATTCTCCCTCAGAGTGGCTGGTGGTTTCAAACTGATGACTTTGCTGATCAAAACCACTGTGCTCCATAGTCTGGTCCAAAAACATAGTCATTTTGGGGAGTGCAAGATTATTTATTGATCTAATAAAACATTAAGCATGAAATATTTAGTCTTTTAAGACAAAAGCAATTTGGCCATAAGGAGATGGGGGGATTTACATTTGAAGTTTTTCTTAGAGGAAAAAAAAGATAAATCTGTGTGAAGAGTAAGGCTATATATGACATTATCTCTCAAGAATCCTTTTGGCTTTAAGAATTTCTGCAAACTGGGTGTTCAAAATCTATGCTCTGATACTGTTCCTTCCCTCATATTTAGGTTTTTTAATTTACAATCCTTGGATCACACAGGCTGGTGTGCTTCTTCTATGTGGGCTTAAGTTGATGCCTCACTTAGATGATTGCTTGTTTGAAGGCAAGGCTTTAAGGACCCAGATGTCATTCTTTGTGATAGCCAGGCACCACCTGGTTTCTACACCCACTTTGCTGTAGCACCCATATCTTCAGTGATCTCTTCATGAGGGTGAATATTGAAAAGGGCCTTGTCATAAAAATTGATTATTCTTAGATTAGGACTATGTTTAAGTCCCCAAGTGTATTCATATACCTATGGCTTATATATGTCTTGAGTTCACTTTAAAGACATCATTAATATTTTATGAAAGAGAACATATGAATCATTCCCATGGGGCATATCGATAATATCATTAATTTAGCAAATGCTATAGAAACTATGAATGACAATAAGAACTCAAAATCCATTTCCAGCATCCCCCTCTTGGATTAAGTCTCCCATGCATTACGTCGGATCATAATCAGGGATCTGAATAGCCTTGTTATTAGCAAGAGAACATTATAAACTCCATTGTGGAAGATGCAGTTAGGTTAAAATTTAGCAACTTATCGTATGATATTCCTTTTGACTTATTTTTAAATTGTTTCAGCTTTTAACACTTTTGGTTTTTTTATTGGAGTTTTTCTCTGTTTTGTTTTGTTATTGTTGGTTTTTTGTCTGTTTATGTTTTATATGCTTTTCTGAATATGAACTCCGAACCCAAAAAACCCAAACTCACAGCCATGGAACCAATGCTGACTCTTAGTATCCCCTGAGGGTTTTCGAGACAGGAGTAGAAAACCCAGTCTTTCTCCCTCAGAGCTTCTGGTGGGGTTGAACTGCTGACCATGCATATCAAAGACCCAAGCATAATCACTACATCACTAGGGCTCCTTTGAGGGTAGGTAAATCTACAGAGACAATAACTAGATTAATAATCACCGAGGGGCCTGGTATTGGTGGTCAGGGTCTATCAAGAATGAGTATGAGAAAGAAAAAAATTTTCTATAATTGATTGTGGTGATGACTGTACAACTCTTCTTAAATTGTAATGATATGAGAATTATATGCTAGCAAAACTATAGTTTTATTAATTCTGAATGTATACACACTATAAGATGAAGGACTTCTTCAGTAGAGCATAACCCCAAACCCAAACTTACTGCCATAGATTTAATTCTGACAGACAGCAACCCCCAAAGCAGAGAAGAACTACTTGTGTGGGCTTCCAGATGTTACCCTTCACGGAAATAGAAAGCATCGCCTTTCTTTAGGAGCAAAGCATAGAGCAATGGAAATAATTTTATAAATATTGCAGAGAGATAAGGAGGCTTTCTACGTCATGTAGCCTTTATTTATGGAAAACAAAGCAATGGTCACTCATTTTATTCTCACTAGCCTCACACTAAATTCAGCATTGATCTTGACTCTTCATGCACAAATAAAAGTAGGTCCAAAGTAACTGATTTTGTCAGTAGTAGAAATCCCAGATATTTTCATATCATTTTAGAGTTGTTGAAAATCTTTCAAAATATTTACACTAGTTATTTAAGTATAGTTATTATTAAACCTGGTACCAGATCTTTTTATTTAATAAGTTCATAAATAAGCTTACATATCCCTGTTACTTTGTCAAAACCTTATTTTCATAATATTTTCATAATGATTATATTTTATTTTATTTGGTTTCTTACGTAAACTTATGCAATTTTAAACTATGATTTAAAAAATATAATTCTGAAAGGGGTACAAAGGCCTCACAAGCTTATCAAAAGGAGTCGATGGCATTAAAAATAAAAAACATGGAAAAGATTTAAAACTCTTCAATTGGAGCATATGTTCTTTTCCAGTTCTAATTTGCCGTGACACTATTTACGGAAATAGTATAGAATGACAGAAATTTACAGATGAAAATATCAAATATTCTGAGGTGCTATCTAATCACTTCAAAATGTCACCAATCCAAAAGCAATCTTCAATTTTTTTCTGAGATTCCAAGGTCTTCTATGAGTACATACGTGCTGTTGTCCTCACATGTGACGACTCTGAAGTGCACGCCACCTTGCAGGCTGAGGTTTCCACATATCTCATAATTCCATATGGAAGGGTAACTGTTTAACTGCCCAGGTACCAATGAATGGTTATACATTTCATGCTAATAAACCCTGTATCTTTTCTCATATAGATGCTCAAACCAGCAAAAAATAGATTTTAAAGATTTTAGATTAAAAAACAGCATACAATTCATTACTTAACTTGTTTTTGTTTTGTTCTTTAATTACCCAAATAGATTTTCTGTTAAGGGCCACATTTCAGGCCATTTGACCAATGTCCCTATCATGCACAGTACAAAACTTCTTACAGTTTGTTTTCAGGAAGTCTTTAAAAAAAATTTCCCTCATGTTCATTTAACAAATTTACAGATTTTGACTCTCAGTTGGATTAAAAGATTGCATCTTTTGGTCACTAACCACAGCCCAGACCATATCTGTCGCTTAAAAACATACAAAGTTAAAAAACTTGTTTGAAGTGATTTTTCTCTTACCGGAAGAGACTTAAAAGAATTACAGGAAAAACATTCACAATAGTGTATGTTAATAGTGTGTTAACATAACAGGAGGCTTAATAAAATCAATTTGCAGGAGAATCAATTTACTGGGAAAAATACACTATAAAATATGTTTCCAGTGTTGGAACACTATTTATCACTCTTTCAAAAGATTAGTTTGTGTTGACTTAAACACATAAAATATATAATTTGAAATCATGGCACCATAGGACACATCTTCAGATTTCTAAAGAGAGTTCATGCCTCAACACAGATGTCTCATTTACTAAGCAAAAGGTACTTGGATACTGAGAAAAACCTGAGCAGAAGATAGAAAACTAACCATTCCATAATTAGTAGTTATTTCGCAATATGGTTCACTTATTTAAAAAGGTAACTCTATGGATGGCTTAAAGATATTACCTGCTGTACTGTTGAGTTCCCACCATTTAAGATAGCAATTCCAAGTTTCAAAGTAGCAGCAAGCATTGGCCCTGTTTCACCTTAAAAAAAAAAAAAAAGAAAGAAAGTAAAAGACAAAAAGACTTTATCAGACACATTAACCTATTCAGCTCAAAAATTTTCCCTTAAAGATTGTTATTATATAATGGTGGGGGTGAGGTGGGACACACCCTCAGTCCCTGGGAGACATTGCAGCTGACAATACATATATATGGAGTGAGCTACACGAGTGCCCTGTGCTGGAGGAGCCACATGAAGACCCTAGCCAGCGCTGAGATGCTTGTGGACCACTGGATCCACAAGACTTCCCACCCAGTGGCCTGCATCTTCCTCCATTTGGTGTCATTGGATGTGTTTTTTGAGTCTGAAGAGGGCTTTATAGATTGGTATTGGACAGATGGGCTAATACCGGACTTATGGACTTGATCTGGACTGGGCTGGGATGTTTTCTTAATGTAAAATTACTCTTTATATAAAGCTCTTATATACATATGGGTGTCTCTCTGGATCTTTTTCTCTGTTCAACCCAGACTAACACATCAACTATCATTTATTTTCATATTAATCACTTTTACCTATCTTAGAAATAGAATGTTACCCTTAATTAGGGTTTGAGAACTTAGTAACAGATTGTACTACCATTACTTTTTCATTCCATGACAAATTATATTTTAAATGTGTTTATATAAGATCTTACTAATGGAAGGCAAAGCATCTTGGCTGGCTACTGAGATATACAACAGTACTTCCACTGTTAAAAAGTACACATTAATAATTCTAATCACTTATATTATGGGCCAGTAAACTCTAGCCTGAAGACCAAATCCACTGGCCACATGCTGTTGTAAGTAAAGCTTTATTGATATGTGGTAATGGCCATTTGTTTATAAATGATATCTGACTGATTTTATGCAACAAGGACAGATTTGAGCAATTACAATAGCGATTACATTCATATGGCCTGAAAAATTGAAATTACTTATCGAAGGAAAAGCTTGCCAAGTTCTGAAATACGTGATGCTTGCTAGAATCTTGTAATAATATAGACTAGCTGCCAAAATGTAAATGACAGTAATAAAAAGAAATGTTAGAAGTGTCTGGAAAAAGAACACCACCCCTGGCCATGATGAGAGCTGGTGTTTATTAAACAGTCACTGGAAGTAGTCATGAACCAAGCATCCAGGGACCACATACATCAGTGGAATTTAAATGAGAGAATGTCTTTAGAGCCAAAAAGGGACATCTACTGAGCACATCCTTCTTAAGGTGGTGAAATCACGCTCACCTTTGCTGGCGCTGATCGTCTGGAATACCATTTCCGCAGCACCTCGGTCATGGAGCCTGGCTTGCTGGTAGAGCAGCTTTTGCTTTTCCATTTCTTTTTCCTGAACACAAATCCCAACCATTTATGTTGTGGCTTCCAAAATGCACAGTAGCTTTCTAAGACCATGTTTTTAGTCACCTCTTCATGTATGGGCTCTATGACAACATTATGGACCATTTCCACACAAACAATGTTATTAAACAAGTTTTAACATATTCAACTCTTTGGTTTTTCCTTTTTGTTTTTCTTGATATACTTTTGGTACTAGTTTATCAAGATGGATTTTCTCAAGTTTAATGATTTGATTAGCTCGAAAGCCTGGATCACAGTTTTGCAGTCCTGTACATCATCGTTAAACTTGCACTTGCTGAATTAGGATTTGTGCGTCAGTTTGCCACAGGTTAATTATCTCCCAGCTCATGGCCGTAACTTGATACTGCTCAGCAAATGGCTCCATTGCAAGTTATCACTGAACCAAGGAAAACCTTTAACTAAGATGTTTGCAGTTGAAACATAATTGAAAGCCGATATGATCAAACAAACAAACAAACAAACAAACAAACAAAAGTTAGGCTTTAACGAAGTCATGAGTTTTTGATACAGATCTCCTCAGTCGCCTCACCCCCACCCCCCACAAAGTAAAAGATGCAATGTGCCTTTATATTTTGTGTTCTCAAATGATACTGCGTGGTGCTACTTGAGCAATGGCTAGAGTTTGTTCTTTTCCACTTAAACTAGCACTGAAAACAAAGCAACACAAGAAAATTAAATAAAATATAAAGGCACAGCAAGATCAAGACTGGGTCGATCATTCACTTGAGCAATCCAGTTCACTGGAGAATTGAGGCAGAACTAAGCAGTATAAGTTGCAGAGTGAAAGTTGCATAGCGCCCTATGACAGTGAGTCCATCAAATGGAGTGACAGGGAAGCTTAGTCAATGGGACATGAAACAGTCAATTAGTATCATGTCCGTAAACACAACGGCCAAAACATATATGACCTAAGAGCAGGAAGAGCTGCAGCAGAAGCAGCCAGATGACAGCTTTGCTGCCATAAACTTTCCATCCGAAGTACGGAAAATAGACACTGGGAGATGGAAGAGGTTTAAAAAATGAAGGCTTGCTAGTTACAGAATATGAAAAATAAAGTGAACTAAAAGGAGGGGAAAATCAATGGGTTCAAACAAATGAAAAAAGAAACCTTTAAATCAAAAGCAACCAACACAGACATGTATGCTGTTACCAGAGAGTTCTCGCCGAGGCTGGCAAATTTGTTTCTTAAATCTTTGATTATATCGTGCTGCGAAAACAAAATTGATCAGGGTTTTGTTTTGTTTTTTTCACACTATAGTTAGAGCTACCGTGATTAAATTTTATTTTTCCTTAAATTATGCGATAGGCCTTAATGGAAGCAGAGAAAAGAAAAAAAGGCAGCTTTGCTTTGTATTCAGCCATGCTAACATCTAAAGGTTTGCCTTCATGTTTAAACCTCTTCCTGTGAAATCAGAACGAAACAAAAACCAAACCACACAGACAGACACACCATATCGCCATTACAACACAGTTTCAGAAAAACTTAAAGAAGACCCTTTGTCTGCTCTTCAGGTCCTGCTTACAATCGATGAGCAACATTCAATTCTTCCTTTTAGACCCAACAATCTTTGACTTTCCTCCAAAGGCCGTCACTATATATGGAAGATTTGCTCTCCAGTTTGTGAACGTTTCTCAGTCAGAAAGTGAAGAGAAATTAGCCAAACCTAAGCTATGGCCCTAACATCTTTCACTAAAGAGGCAAGTAAGTCAGAAAAAGCAATTATGCTACTGATCTGAGAAAACAAAGAGAGTCATCAGGCAGCCCAAGGAAGACTAAAGATGGCAGCATTACTTTTTACAAAAGAACCACTTGCCATTTGTGCTTTCTAAGTGGGCACACGGCCCAGAGATACACACTGGAACAACTTGCACAGCAGATTCTCCGTGTCCAGTGTCCGCTTCCATAACTGAAATCACGCATGGGGGCTAGGCCCTCAGGAAGGTCAAGGACTCCACATGATTGTCTTCTTTGTAAAACACAGAAACAAAGCCCTCCGCGGTCAGAGGAGGCTCCCTGTTCTTATATAGTACTTAAATGTCAACAATAACCAGTGTGTCAGGGAGATGATGCTGGGAGGGATTTGAGAACACAAGATCGACAAAGAAGGAGGCAAAAATGTACTCGATAAAAACCAATCCAGTTCACATCTTTTTCAAATGTCCTCTTTGTTAGATGAGTTGAACGCTATCTCTTCACAAATCCTTTAATATGATTTCCTTCCAGTGCTTTGTTGAGAACTGCTTTTAGTATGTAATTTAATCCTGGTATTGAAATTTATATCACAATATATGACATTAAAACCTTGCAAGAAAATCCAATTTGTTTTCACAGAATTAAATGATGGATTATATAGAAAGAAAAAAATTCACTTCAAAGTTACTGTAATTTATTGAAGGCACTTTAAAAAAGTGAGCTATTCATAAACTGTGAAAGGGTCTGAAATTAACACAATTATACCTTCAACCTGAGTTTGAACTTTATATTATTTCAACGGTAGAAATGAAAACTAAAGAGAAAAGGAAAGCCAAGCATCAGGCTATGACCTTTCCGTTAAGTAAATAGTTCTTATTACCAGAACTATGACTTAAACCAGTTATCCTAATAAGATTTTCATGAGTTTTTCCAGGTCACACATAACCATCAATCAGGCCATGATCAAATGATCACATCAGTGCCTCTGAATGAAAATATCTAACACCATGGCTCCATTACAGTATAACTGAAGTTTGTAATAAGATGGCTACTTTTATCTGAGTGTCTCAATCTTTTAGCAAGTGGAGCGGGGAAGTAGAAAGGCTTGAAAAAAAAGGCTTGGTTCTCTGGCAGCTTGTCTTATATGAGAAAGAAATGATGAAATAAGAAGAGTAAATTAAAAGTGTTCCTAGTTCTTAAGGGAAAAATTAGTTTATTCATATATGGAAATGAAAATGTTTTTAAAGAAGGGAATCTTGATGACACAAAGAAATTAACATTTTCCTAAAAGACGTCTTCCTTTACCTGGGCATTTAAGGCAACAAGCATTCCTAAGGCTGAAATTACCTAATTTATGAACTCTGAATTATGTGAAATCAGAAAAGTTGTTTTCTCCTTTTTCTTGTAGTTATTCATGCTCGCATCTTCAACATCCCCTGAGCTGTTCATTTTAAGTTGAATTCAGAAGCAAGTTATATTAGAAGAGAATACAAATTTCTAGGAATTGAGCTATTCTAGTTTTTCCCCGTAATTTGGTAATGTCTTAATTCAACATGAAGTATTTTGATCTATCATATTATATATACTTGTAACCTAAAATTTTTATTGCATTTCAATATTACAAGGAAAATAAATAAGACTGAAACCACAGAAAATTCAATTGGACAACTAGAAGGGTAAAGATGAAAGACATAAAATGGTAATACATGGTTTACAACACAAAAAGGCAAACTGACACTAAGGATTGGTGGCAAAGCATGGGATAAAAAAGGCACATTTCCCTCTTCAATTAATTTTGATCTGCAGGCTAGATCCAAAAATTATGAAATGACCACACGAGTTGATTCATGGATCTAGGGAAATATTTATACATCTGTAGCTTGGTTTAATGATGCACTCTCCCAAACTAAAATTTTAAAACACTTAACATATATGGAATTTCCTTGGTATAAAACGTCCAACGACATGGGCTATCTTTGCTTGTTTTACCTGGAACACCATGCCTGTACTTTGTATACACAGTATGGTTCTCCACACATGATAGACTTTTAATAAATGAATGATACTACTAGTTTGATGTTATGTTGTTTGTACAATTATATGAAATAGTTCTAATTTTATCTTTTAGTTTGAAGAGCTACAAACTTAGTACAGTGTAAATGTTTATTTTATTGTCAGTGAATGGATAAACAGGTTTTAGAATTATATAATAAACACAATTATAACTTTCAAAATATAATTTTTAGTAAATTTTATTTCTTGCTTGCATCATTTATCTTTACTTATTTTTTCTATTGAAAACATTTCAAGTATTTTAATAGTAGCTCATAGCTAAACTTCCAAATAGAATGAGCACAGTCTATTAGTTCCCAACAAAAAGAGAAATATATGTCTGGATGGTATACTAATGGACATTTTAATCTCCAAATATACCTGGTTTAAACGCTATACCAAAAACTGACCTGTCAAAGAAAACAAAAGCCCTAAACCAGTGACATATTTTGGCTAATGTGTTCGAGAACTGGAAATTTAGATTTACATAGTAATATGGCTTTTCATCTTACTTCTTCCCATCTCAGATATACTTGCACTTTGGTTGAAATATTGTTTCCTGTGTCTTTGGCATATTTAGACTTAATTAATAGAATGAAAAAGTAAAGGATCCCTGGTAGTGTAGCATGTTATATGGTGGCTGTTAACCTCACTTATGAAAATTTACAGAAATCCACAGAGGCAATTTCACTCTGTCCTATAGGGTCACTATGAGTCATAATTGACTAACTGGTAGTAAACATGAAAAAAAAAACAGTCAATAAACCATCACTAGTCTGTATCTTGTACTCTAGAGGATTGTGTGCTGCTGTGATACTGGATAGTGGTTATTTCACTGCTACCCCACTGAATTTTCAAGTAACCACGGAGTCACCCATAGTGAACATATTTCAGAGGAGTTCCCAAACTCAGTCATACTAGGAAGGAGAACTGGGTTGTCCACTTTTGAAAACATTGTACAGTGAAAATGGTGTGAATAGCAGCAGAACATTATCTGACCCATTATTCGTCATTCAGTCTGAAAGTCACTTGAAATACAAGTGGGGGTGAGCTGTCTGCTCAAAGTAAGGTAGGTTCTAATGATGGAGATGGGACAAAACTTTGGAGACCTTGATTTCCTGATGGGCACAACTCAAAATGACAAGGAATAGCTACAGACATTTATGTATTATCAGAACATGGATTGTACAAAATACAAATCTAGGAATACTGGCAGTCATAAA